TAAAATATTATTTCTCACAATGAAGGTGTGAAGAAAAAAAAGCAAAGGAAAAATTCCATCAAAAATTAAAAAAGAAAAAAGCCCAGATCAGAGCTTTTTAAGAGTTAAATCCTGTAGTGGAATCCAATACAAATGTGAATCCAGGCTGATAAGTTTCTGTACAGAAAGTAGTTCAGAGTCAAAAAATAAATAAATAAAAATAAAGCAACATTGCTTTCCTTGCTTTCATTGTATAGTATTAAGTTTCAATCCAAGGATAGAATCATAATAAATTTATGACCACCATGCTATTCACTAGCTAATAGAACTAAGTTCTATAAAATATTTGTTATTAGTTTCTAGTTATAAATTAGGTAAGGGAAAAGGAGGCAGGAGAGAATGGGGGCAGTTTCTCAATCACTATTCCAGTCTTTCCTTTAATGAGATAATATAGAAACTCTGTTAGCCTTTTATAGGGCCCGAAAAAAGCTAGCTACATTCCTGAGCCTGGGAGGCTGAATATGTCAAGGGCCTCATTTCCTTGCTATATTGCTAACTGACGAAGTATTTTGCCTGAGCAGAGGGTTGGACTAGATGACCTCCAAGGTCCCTTCCAACTATTACTAAGCATTAGCTTCTATGTAATTTGGATATTTTTATTGGTTTAACTGCTTTTACTGTTTTAAAATGTTTTTAATATTTTTAACTGTAATTTATTTTTTTTTTAATTGTAAGCTGCCCCAGAATGTTTGACTCCAAGAGGGGACCCAAGAAATTGAACAAACAAGTAAACACGGGAAAAATAGCATCATTCTCTTTTTCTGTACTACTTCACCAAAGAACTCCTATACTCTATATCAGTGGTTCTCAACCTTTTTAATGCCGCGACCCCCCAACCGGTTGTAAGTCGAGGACTACTCAACCGGTCGTAAGTCGAGGACTACTCACCTGGTGCAGCACCGTTTGCAGAATGGGACTTTTGGCGGGCTCAGCAGGGCAGAGACAGCCTGGACAATTCCTATTGGCTTTTGAAAGCCAATAGAATTAGACTCTATTCAAGAGAGTCTATTCTATTGGCTTTCAAAAGCCAATAGAATAAAAGGGAGTAGCACAGCTAAGTAAAAGGGGGAAAAAATGGCGGACTGCATTGTTTGGCGACCCCCGTGAAATGGTCGTTCGACCCCAAATGGGGTCCTGACCCGCAGGTTGAGAACCACTGCTCTATATTGTACTATATTGTAAACCAAGCCGCCTAGAGTCGCTTGGTAGAGATATAGGCAGCATACAAATTTAATAAGTAGGTAGATAGGCAGACAGACAGACAGACAGACAGACAGAAAAGGCAATACTTTACAAAGTACTAGTTAAGTACGGTAAATTATATCAGCACTCCAGTTTTAGATATTGCATACAGAAAAGCTATTCTAGCTTCAATCCATTTCTCTGTAAGGAAGGGGATTTGAGGTGTATTAAATAAATCAAGACCCAGATATCCACTAGGAAGTATGATTCCTCATAATCTTATATTTAAATCTTATTAAATCTGAAATTTATCAACACAAGCTAGAATTTCTGTGAAGGAAAATATTTTTTCTAAAAGATGATACACCTTCTTCATCAGTGCAGGTGCACTCAATTAAAGCTATCTATTTTGAGAGCTGTGCTTATCAGCCACCAGTGAAAGCATAAACTTGGCAATAAAATGTGTTCCCTCAACTTGAAAAGGGGTGGCTCATCTTGTTTTTTTAAGATAGCAGCTGCATTACAGGAAAAAAATCTATTAAATGGAAAGCAAAGATTATACAATCTATCTAAATGCTTAAATAACTGTAAAAGTACTGACATACATAGACGGCACAAAATATGTACGTATATTGTCTTTCATACTTCCTCATTGAAATTTTACTTGTGTAAAATGCTAGTGTCTAACTGCTGGTCTAAATTTCACATTTGATATCCAATCATTTAGAATTAGATCATGCTGATCAGCAAAGAAACATCTTTATGTTTCATAGCAATCTGTCAACAATAAGTAAAACCCTATAAAATATGTACACGTACTATATATACATCAATTACACAAATATGTAAAATATAGGAACAGGCATGAATATAACATCATTGTCATTCTTACAAATTTACTTGGACTGAGACATAATTTGTGATTCTGTCTAAAACAGAGATTTTTTTATACAGAATTTTCAGTTTCAAGTTTATATTTTTCCTACTTTCTATGGAGGTATCAAGATTTATTGCATGAAAGTAGATAGGATATGAATTTTCTCCCGCTCAATCAGACTATTACACTGTATAAAATACATAGTTCTTATTTAACTGTTTATAAACAGTTTAACTTATATAAACAGGAAGCAACCCACACAGTCACTAGCACTGATGATGTTGCCTAGATGGGTAGTGAAAATGTCTCCAAACAAACTCAGAGATTACACCAAGGATGCCATAGTTGTTACTCATCTAGTATCTAGTATCATAGAACATAATTAATTTTTAAATGCTCACTATAGAGAGTATTTTACTTTGAGGCATGAAAAATCCTGTGTATTTCCTCGAAGGTTACAATATCATTACGTTAAATTTTCATACTTTCTTTGTTATTCACTAAAATAGTTCTTTTACAGGCATAAGCACAGGGAAAATACATCTGGACTGTCTTTTGCTCTGATTTCAAGAAGCAATTACCTGCAGAACATACAGGTAAAATGGAATCTCATTGATCTCATTTAGGAGCTCCATAGTTTTATATTTCCATGTTCTTCATAGGTGCTGCTTCTGATAAGTTCTAAAGGAGGTGGAGACATCAGATTTCAAGGGAGCCACCACTGGCACAGCTTTATGCCTGACTACATTGGTGTTCCTAGTGATACTGGAAACACTTGGAAGGGATTTATTACATGAGTTTTAACAAGGAACCCTGATGGGTTTTTTTTTTTTTCTGTGTGAAACTGTTACCCTTACAAAATTAAATATTAACATTTTTAATTGAAGCATGAATATATGTTTCCTTTAGAATTTTTAAAGAATTTTATATTAATTTGATACTCTCTATCCTAAAACCTTGTAGAAAGTTTTGTAATTGGCCAGTGACCTCTTGCGGTCTACTTAATCACATTATCTGTTCCATTTTATCCCTTTTTTTCAATTTACTGTTTTTCCTCAATTCTAAATGTTGCAATTTATCTAATTCACTATTAAATATAAAAAAGATACTTTAATATGTTTTTGTTAAAATTTAATCTTGATTATCTCTCACAAGGTGATTTATATCCCAACAGATAAAGGAAAGTCTGAAACATCACAAGTCTCTATGCCATATAACAGTGGTGGCGAACCTATGGCACGGGTGCCAGAGGCAGCACTCAGAGCCCTCTCTGTGGGCAAACCTCACCCCAGTCCTAGGCCTTCAACTGGGTTTTATAAAACCTTTTCACTTCAGGTCTCTGCCGCTGTTTGCAAAAAAAAAAAAAAAAAAAAAGGTTCAATCAGTCAATTTCAACTTCTTGCGGGGAAAAAAAGATCTTGCAAAGTTGGAATTGCTTGATTGAACTTTTTAGTCCCACCCATTCTGCCATTACCACCACAGCCATGCCCACCCAATTGGCCATGCCCACCCAATTGGCCACACCCACCTAACTGGCCACACCCACCCAATGGGCTATGCCCACCCAATGAGGCACAACCACCCGGCACTCGACAATGCATAAGTAGGTTTTGGGTTGTAGTCTCTAAAACAGTGATTCTCAACCTTTCTAATGCCGCGATCCCATAATACAGTTCCCCATGTTGTGGTGACCCCCAACCACTTATATATCACTGGGTGCCAGGGGCCTGGCCAAAGAAAAGGGGGAAAAAATGGCGGACAGCCTTGTTTGGCGACCCCTATGAAATGGTCGTTCGACCCCAAATGGGGTCCCGACCCACAGATTGAGAACCACTGCTCTAAAAGGTTCACCATCACTGCCATATAGCTAAGAGATACATTACTATGGGAACTTTGCATCTGTCATAAATGTGAAAAATGGTCATCTTTTCAGTGCTGTTGTAACTTTGAATGGTCACTAAATGAACTGTTGTAAGTCAAGGACCACCTGCATGTAATTGTCAGTCTTATTAGGTAAATGAGACAGGAAATGAAACCAGATGGGCTAATTCTTTATTATAAAACTAAATCTTATTATAAACAGAATCTTGCAAGTGTGAAAGTACTTCTCTTTCCATGTTCCCTTTAAATTCCAAAAATAAGGGAGGGTCATTTCTAAGCCTTTTCCTGCTGAGGGCCCAGCTGCCTTTTATTTGACTAGTTTCTTAGATGGGTCCCTTTATCCTGCCTCCCAAGATCATGCCCACATACCACTACAGCAAGTTAAAGGGGAGTGTGTTTTGCTTTCAGTACCGTATATTCCGGCGTATAAGATGACCCCCGTCTTCAGTGCCGAGTCGCATGCCTAGAAAGTTATCTTATACGCCGGAAACTACCGTTATTTCTGGCCTATAAGACGACTCGGCGTATAAGACGATCCCTGACTTCGGCACCAATTTTAAAGCTTGTGAAAGTCGTCTTATATGCCGGAAAGTACAGTATTTCATCCTTCTGAAAAAATATTAATTTTCCAATGAATTTTAATTTATAAAATACTTTGTAGAAATTCCCAAAAAGTGTGTCTGCCAATGTTTGGTTTCTTTGATAGTACTTGAAATACAATTAGTATCATTTAAAAAAAAACTCACAATACTACAGTTCGTCAGAAACTATTCCCACAGAAACCTTATTGAAAATAAGCAAAATCTGTATAATATTAAGTTCAACCCACAGGATTGAATTGAGGATAAGTTACCTACTCAGTGAGTCTATGAAGGATCTTTTCATATACAGAATGTTCACAATGTGCATATATTCTCACACATTTTGTTTACCTTGGTCTGAAATGATGCAAAAATTCAGCACTGAATACAAATATAGATTAATAGCCCTGATTATAGATCAATAACATGGAGATATTTACCTGTGTGTCAGTCTCCGGTGGCTAATGCAAACAGCTGTTTGTTGATCTTGTGCAATGCATACCTTATGACGAGTACATTTCATCTTTAAGCATGGATCTTTAGCTGGGTCTAGAGCTAAAAACAATTGTAGAGAATATTTTTTTAAAAAAACACCTTCTCTACAGATATACAGATATGTTAGTATTAATTATTCATTTTAATAAGGGAAGTATTCATAAATTAGTAATTAAGCATCACCTGTACATCTGGCAAAAGTAAAAAGAAACATCCACACTACTCCTTTTTTAATGTTAAAATAAGTATTCAAAATTAATATTCTAATATATTTTTCATGGTCTTACATATAGGAAATAAAATAATCTGAATCTGTTTAGATCATTATTGATAAATTTACATTTTCTTATAAAATTTCAACTTCAGCACTGAAAAACCAAATGAGAACAAGCAGCTACAGTAACTGTCATTGTATTTACACCAGCAAGCTTACTATAGGTTTTAGAGCCAGTATAGAACAAAATTAAGATTGTAGTAGCAGCTGCATCTTCTTCACCTTCATCTCCTCCTCCTAAATATGAAACTTCCCACCTCTGCCCTATAATCAAGCTTATATTAACTAACTTGTTTTATAATCTGTTTTAAACTTAGAGAAACTTTGCTTTCTGAATCAAATTCTTCTTTCACAGAAAGCAAACTCAAAAGTAACTTGGGCAAGAAACAGACTTTGTAGCAGAGGTGTACAGTAGTGGCCAAAATTGTGGAAACCTTTTGGGAAAAGTGTACAGTAGAAATGCCACCTTTGGTTAAGTTTCCACCAATTTTTCTTCTAATTTCTTTATAACTGTAGCCTTGTTCACTTAATAATACTATTTTACATCGCTTTCTGGGCGACCAGTCAACTCTGTGCACCATTACTTTAATTTTATTACATTTTACAAGCTCACTAAATGAAAGAACACAAAAAACCCCAACCAACTTGATAGCAATCACTTAGCACACTGACAAATGTGCTCCTTTCAGCTTCAATACATGACACCAATAACTGAATCCTACTGTGATCTGATTGGCTCATTGGCAAAACAAAATGACATCTGATTGGCTCTCTAAACACTCATATTCATTGGCTACAATCAGATGAAGGAAAGCTAACTGATATCAACCTAAGCAAGTTGTGCTTCCTTTTTCTGGTTATTTGGCTATAACTTTTCATAGAATACAGTACAGATAGTTGAACAAACGATGTTGCCTCACATTCTTGATTAAATTATCTTTCCATTGATATATAATTTTATGGTACTACTCCAAAAAGAAAGTGGTGTTATTAGCCATCAAACCTCAAAAATACACTTTTCCCAAAAGGTTTCCACAATTTTGGCCACTACTGTATGTCTGAAATCCACATGCCAAATCCCATTTTTCCTCCAAAGCAAAACAAAATACTAATTACATAGAAGACAAATGGCTAGTATTCAATGAAATTGCATTATATATCATTCCCAAAAGTATACACAGAGATTACACAAAAGAAACAACTATATCCAATATTTTTTTTAAAAAAAAACCTGCTCAGTTTCCAAAGCCACTTCTTAAATCCCCAGGATATCTGCTAGCTTATTGATTATGTATTAAAATAAAGACCTGGCTTGCAGCCATCTACCTTTTTTTTTTTTATTTTGCAAGAATGCCTCTTGACCCACGGAGCATTATTTATAAAACTAGTTTGAAGACTGATAGAGATAAGGCCTTATCACTAAGCGCTTTCTTCAGACATTAATGGCTAATGGGAATGTAATTTAATGCATGCAGAAAAGCATACACCATTAGACAAAAATTGAACTCTATTGATCAAGATCACTTAAATCAATGCTCTACCTTAATTCATTTTCAGCAAGCTAAAGTTCTTGCTTTCTTAGTGAAACGTGATTCCAAAAAATTACAAATGATAAAAAAAATATGAGTGGACGGCAAATAAACGCCATACAAAATTATTGCCAGTGTTGGTTGAAAGTCTGATGAAAGTCATAATAAGTATACACGTAGTCCTTGACAACAGAGAACGAGATGGCTGGATGGAGTCCCTGAAGCAGTAGGCGTGAACTTAAATGGACTCCAGAAGATGGTAGAGGACAAGAAGGCCTGGAGGAACGTTGTCCATGGGGTCACGATGGGTCGGACACGACTTCGCAATTAACAACAACAACAGTCCTTGACTTATGACCACAATTGAGCCTAACATTTCTGTTGCTAAGTTGCTAACATTTGTTAAGTGAATTTTACCCCATTTTATGATCTTTCTTGCCAGCGTTGTTAAATGAATCACTGCAGTTGTTAAGTTAGTAACACAGTTGTTAAGTCGATCTGGCCTTCCCATTGGCTTTGCTTGTCAGAAGGCTGCAAATGGTGATTACATAACCCAAGACACTGCAACTGTCATAAAACTGACTCAGTTGCGAAGCATCCAATTGAGATCACATGACCATTGGATGCTGCAATGGTCACAAGTCTGAAAAACAGTCATAAATCCCATTTTTCAGTGCCATTGTAACATTGAACAGTCACTAAATGAATCATTAGTAAGTCGAGGACTACTTTTACACTGATGTTGCATGTGTTATGATGCAAATTAATCAAATTTTTTAATTATAACATTTTTATGCAAAAAAACCTCCAAAGACACAACTGGCATCATTATACATGTCGCTTCACCACGCCTGCCAGAGCCACAGCCATCACTAGTGGATGCCTACGACATCATTTATGTAGTCGGAAATCCTATGTTTCATACCCAAATGTAAGTCTGCCTAATTATATATAAAAACATTGTTATACAACCTATCTTACCAAATCATAATTGACTTAGGAATGAGACAATCTAATAAACCTGCTTTAAAGTGCTGTAAATCATCAGCCGTCTAGTTAAAATTCAAAAGTCTATGTAGGACACACAGAGAATAGTAAAATATGGGAAGGACTATTTATTTATAGAAAAGCTGCCTTATATATACTGCATCCAAACCCTGGTTTATCTGTTAAAGCAGGGGTGTCAGACTCAATTTCATTGAGGGTCGCATCAGCATTGTGGTTGCCCTCGGGGGGCGGGGGGGTGCTGCCAGGGTGAGTGTGGATGGAGTGGGTGTGGCCTACTGGGTGGGCATGACCAGCTTTACATCGTTCGCGTCAAGGGTGCCTATGGGGGCCTGGGCAGGAGTGGGACAGATCTGAGGGTCTCTGGCAGGAGGGGGTGGGACTGGGACAAATGCCAAGGCATAGTCTATTTCTTCATTCCTCACAAAAGATGACACCTCCCCAGCATGCATCCAGGGGGCGGGGCAGACACAGCAGAGGCTGGTTCCTTGCTGTTTCCAGATGGCTTTGTAGAGCTAAGACTGAATGCGTTTCAGCATAGATGGCCACCACAAAATTGTTCATTGGCTCCTGGCCGGCCTGGGCCAGGGCTAAGGAAGTGGGGGCCATTCCCTCACTGTTTCCAGGATGGCTTTGCAGGGCACATGAAACCACTTTGCGGGCCGCATCCGGCCCCCGGGCCTTGTGTTTGACATGTCTGTGTTAAAGGATAAAGATTCAATCAACTTGGACTGAGGAGGTTCAGATTTCAATCTACTTGAGAAGGTACAAATTTAATTCTAAACCTGAAGTTTGATACTATCATACAATAATGCTATGTTTTGGGTTAACATTTCCCAAAGGGCTGATGTTTGAAAATAAAATCAGGGAAGATAACTATACCTATCACAAAATCAGGAAAGATAAGTATAACCTACAACCTTTATCTTTTGAAAGACAAGTAAAATATAATATACAAATTAGATATAAACAAATTAAACTGTCATTCATGTAATCAATCATGTTGTGTCTTCCCATTTAATCTTCTCAAGGTTAAACATAACCAGTTCTTTCTCTTCATAGGCTTAATTTTTAGTGCTCTGATCATCCTTGTTGTTAGGGTGATGAACCGAATTGGACAAACTTCTATGCTTTTCGATCTTACTCTGAGATAACTACATGGAGTGTGTTAAGCTAAACCAAAAGACAAATATTGCAAACTGAAAGAAAAGTGTTGTTACAAAACTGCTTAACGTGATTTTGGCTTCAGTATAACAAAAATTAAATTATTGTAATATATTCCAAGTAGGACTATCCCATAAAACTATTTAACAGTATTAAGTTGTACCTAGCACAAATTCAAAAAATGAAGGAGGAAAGAACATGAACTCAACGAACACAAGGCTATGTAAGCAAGCTCTTAGATACTCATTAAAATGCAAGGTTAGTAATTTACTATATTCTTTAAATATATTCAGAAATATTTGTATTTATTGGAGTCTGTATTCAGGAAACAAGAGTAAAACTTGGGCATGCACAATGATATATAGACAACCAGGAGTAGTTTCCAAAGCAGTCAGTGCAGGTGATTTAATGATTTGAAAATGTATTGCTTTTTATGCAAATTGCAGTATAACCATTGCAAAGAGCTTCTTTCAAATGTTTTGCATTTCATGAGGTCTCCTGAATACAAATACTTTTCCTGTTTGCCTGGGATTCAAAAGACCGGGTAAGTAACTTGCAAAATAAATATTCCAACTTTACATGGTTGTAGAGAACAGCTTGTATTTATTTCCCAATATCCTTTTCAGTTTTGTATTCTGACTCCATTAAGCCAAGCCGGGTGAAAATGTATGGAGGGTATTAAAGAGGTGCAGAATGATATAGACTAAAAGTCTAATTAAGAATAAAATCTAAACTTCTGACAAGATGACTCCTTAGTTTACAAACCATCTTTTGATTAGTTTTTTGAAAAGCCTTGGTGCATCTTTTCTTCAAAGAGGTAAATGATTTAATGATAGTTTATGTACTCACTAATAAGACTTTAAAAGGTAGCTGTAAAAACAGAAACACTTTCTGTATTTCATTTGACATCCAGTGGCATGGTAGCTATTCCATAGCAGGCATGTCAAACTGATTAAGGACATCACATGACATCATGCGATGTATCGTGACATTTTCCCCATTGCTGGCAATGGGTTGGGTGAAGTTTCAGCGTGACACATCCAGCCCGTGGGCCGGCAGTTTGACATGCCTGCCATAGGGCCAATAGA